AGCAAAGTAAACGTAGAGAGGAGCTGTTGTGTGAACATCAGACCTCCAGGCTGATGTGATCTGAAATGGATGCAGGAAAAGATGCCGGCCAGTTTTCACTGTTTTCAGTACATTGAAGTGATACTGTGACTCATCCTGATCAGTGTTAAAACAGCATGTGGTGTCATGGACCTTTAACACACTTTGCAGCCTCAAGGTAAAGCATTTATTTTGTGGCTTTAAAACCAACTGATGACGAAAGGTGTTTATTTTGAAAATATCACCTTTATAGTGGCAGGTATTGATCCAGATATTCTCCTGTTACTAACATACAGTTTTTGTTTCCTCTTGATTAACTTTGAAGTTGTTAAAATCATTTAACTCCCCACTGTATGCCACCAGTATCCTATACAGCATATTCTGTATCAGCCTGTTCCATCTCTTCATCCAAGCTGAGTGAAATATCGAAACCCAAGGAGGTGTGTGTTTTTTTTATCAAATGAAAATACTCTGCAAGACCTGGGCATCATTTAACACACTAATTTCTGTCTTTTACCTTTAGAAAAAATTGCTCCTCTAGAATTGAAAAGTTCTGTGAGTTTGAATAAAGTTTGTCTTCTTGCTCCCTCTGTCCTCCTTCACAGTTAAAAGTTTACGATCTTTCAATGACTTTGAATCACAAAACCTCCTAGATATGCCTAGGTTAGGGAATTTAATTTCATGTCAGCCTATAATTATCAATTCTGTGTCAGGAGTCCACTTTAGTTTCACGCTATATAGACTGGTCACTTCTCCAAAGCTGACCTAACAGCCGTGGTCCTGCCCCACAAGCATCAAGTCCTGAGGGAAAAACAGGGACTTTCACAGTTCCTTGGCCAGGCCTTCGCTGACAGCACCACTGTTTCCTGTTGGTCCAAAAAGAATCTGAATAACTCCTTCATTCATATCAACCATACTGATGGGAGACAAAACAGCAGCCCCAAGCCATGTAATGTATATAAGCCTCAATTCTTCACAGCATGTTTGCTTTCACATGCTTTGGTTCCTCTCATCCTGTAATTCGATTCAACACATGAGCTCATCACTGTTTGATTGGCATTTTATGCTCAGCTTAAGCATGACAATGATGTGATTAAGGGAAGGACAGAGGGCTGTGATCCAAGTTCTCCCAAAGGGAGCTGGACTCATATTAGTCAACACGTTATCTAACGATGGAGGAGACCACCTACGTGCATTTGGGAGGACTGGAAACAGAATGAAAGGAACCGTGAATTCAACAGTGATATAAAAATGATAAGAAGTAAAGAGCATTTAGAGCTGATACTCCGTGAAGTATCAAACTCTTATCAGCTTGTAGGCTTACAAAGTCACCCAGGGGTGTTTGATACTTCAAAGATTAGGACGAGTTAATGAGTTCAAGCAGATCAGAGGTTAAAGTTATCAGTGTTTTCCCATTAACAAAAGATGAAATAGATGAACTGCAAATAATATAAAAGGAGTTGCTCATGATGATAAATAATATCACATGGCTGCAGCTCCTCTTATCTTAATGATAGTGATAAGATGCCTTTATGTTTGCCAATATGTTCTCAGCATATCAATTTTTATGAGGTGATAAAGTTTGGATATCGTGTTTCGCTTGTTGCCCTGCCCCCGTCTGTGCAGTGGCCCTGAGAGCTCAACGCGCTGCCACTCAAGGAAACACATGCAAACAGACAAATTCAGAAAACGTCTTCATCTATTTGACAACACAACCAAATGCAGAAACACGCTGCAAGTAGCGCAGACGACAACAGAAGTGTTTTCCAGGGGACACAAAAAAAGTGATGAACCCAGCTGGGATGTTTTATAATACATTCATGCACACTTATTGTTCGATGCTTTTAACTTCAAAAGTCTTAAAAGCACTGAGCAACAAGCGCATCCCAGCTGGGTTGATCGCTTTGTTGTGTCCTCATTTACACATTTAATTTTAAATCCTGGAGAAAATAGAAAAAGCTCTGAGAAAAGAGCAAAAGACAGTTCTTCATCTAAAAAAGAGAAAATGCACCGAAGCACAGTGGAGAATTATAGTGCTGACAGTCACATTTCCACAGAGGACGACACACATTTCCATCCACCTGCATTTCCTTTTGCAGATATTCTGGAAATTAGGTTAAAATTTGCTCTAGATTTGAATGGAAACTTATGAGCTTCCAAGACACAAACTAAAGGTACTTGTTCTTTTTTAAAGATCAGAATCTGTGAAGCGGTGCAGTTTATTATCAATTAAAGATTCTACACAAATTCCGATGAATGGTTTGTAGTCTCCTATTGCGTCATCAGAAGTAGATAACATTCAAAGGTGTTTTCTTCGCTTGTATTGTACCCATGCAGACGCTGCTCGCTGGCTGTATGGGAGTAAACGCGAACACAGCAGACACTGTGAGGCCATTCAGTAATTCAGTAGCACAGTCTGTAACCATAACAGCCGCATCATCTCCATAACAGAGGGGAGTGTGGAGTGTCATGCTGGACATGGTTTGTCTTCTGCTCGCTCTCTCTTGCTGTTGATACTCGCTCTGCCCTCCAGCCATATCAGCAGCTGTGTGTTTCTGAGAGATGAATGTGACATGCTCAGCTTCCTCTGGCTGTGAGATCACTCTCTGGACACCGACGCCCACAAGTAGCAGAACACTAACTGATTATGTTCAAGAGGCTATGAAATTGCTTCATGTGTTCTCTCTTCCCGTCTCCGCCCGATGTTTACTTGTGACGCGAAAACGTCGCAGAGGTTGTGTGAGGGAGAGATCACTGGGGGGTCAATCTCATGATCCCCAGCTCTTTAGTCAATACAAACCAGTAGGGGAGAGGAGGAGTGGAGGGTGCACCTGCATCATAGTTGTCCAGTTATACTAAGAGTTAATTCACACAAAAACACGTCAGTTTTTCTCACAATTGTGGGTTTGTCTGAGCAGCACAGGAGCAATCTGGGTCAGTCGTGTTGTGTCCCTCCATGCGTCTGTGTTTTGGCTTGAGGTATGAAGTAGCCGTGCTGAGGTCTGGCAGCAGGGCTGATATATGGAGCTCTATTACCATTGCTCATAACTCTAACACACTAATTACAACCACAGGCTTGCAATGAGCACTGCTGCTTTGAACCCAGTAAGTTATGACAAAGTGTGTATGTGCGTGTGTGTGTGTGTGTGTGTGTGTGTGTAGAGGTACAGGGCTATAGGAGCATAAGTAGTTGAGTGAAGATTGACACCCTTGCTCCACCTCCCACTGATCTGATGACTTGACCTCAAACCCTTCAGCTCCATAGCTGGAGAGATTAAAAAGAGGATAAGTAGCAGCAGCTCAGACTATTCAGTCACATGTGATGAGTCAAATATTCAGAACGTGTGACCATAAACCCATCATTTAGTGTGTTGAGCCTGTCCACATCCACATGCACACACACATGGACACACCATTATATGTCTGAAAATGCTGTGTTAGCATTCAGATATTGGAAGTCTCGAGATAAGAGTCGTTGCTCGCAGTAATATTTACATTACTGAGTGGCAAATGTCAGCCTCCGCTGGTAATACGTTCCACGCAGACACACACACAGCTGGGATGCTGTTTTGCAGGTCACCATGGAGACGGCGGGGAATGAGAGAGAGACTGCGGGGGAAAACTGAAAGGGAGCGTGAGCTTCTCTTTCATCGGGTCACACACGCTGACATCCATTCAGCATGTCCGCCTCGTAAAAACCCTGACATAACCAGAGACATGAAAGTCTTGATCCTTCTACGCTGCTTTTGTCTGTCACACCGTCCTCCTGTCAGATCAATAGACTGTGTCTCTTTGCTTTGTCTGGTTAAGCAAATATGAGAGGAATAAGCGTGGGATTCAGTTATTAGCCAATGTTAAACCTCATAACAGTGACACTGTTTTGGCTAAAGACCCATTTAGCCTTGTGCTGCCACTGCAATCTCCAATGAAGTACATTTTAGCTTGTCATATACTGCATCACATACATTTTTAATGCTGCTATCATGGGATTTCTGTGCACAAAAAGCTATATTTTGTCATTTTATATGGAGGTTTTCAATCAAGCCGTACAAAACATGTCTTGACACCTGACTAATGCAGAGGAACATTGTTCTTCGATCCAACACCCTTTCAGTGACCTTTGAACTCTCGCCCCAGGACACAAAGGTCAATGTCCCATCACAGCTTTGAGATCGTTAGAATCTCACGGCTCCGGGGAACTAAATGACCCTTGGAATATTTTTTCTATATGCACTCATCAAAAACAAATCAGTTTCCCAACAAAGTCCATTTAGTGCAACAAACTGCAGTGTCTGTTATTTACAGCTCAGTGATGCCATCTACTGTCTCTACAGTGCATGAGTAAAGGCCTTTTAATAATCAATATGGCGGCAGACCAACTGTAAGGTCATTTAATTCCAAGTGAAATCATTCAAAAAAGCTGCAGCTGACTCACAAATATGTTTGCAGGTTATTTTCCGTATCTATTTTCAGGTATTCGTTTCTCATTTCTTTTTCTTTTAATTTATAATTTTTCCTCTAAAAGTAAAAGAAAAATATCAGTACTTGGTCTTGATGCCCTTTGACCTTCATGTAGAGATACCAAAGAGATTTTTATTGTGCTCTCAAGAGCAAAATATGTTAATTTTATAATAGTTATTGAAAGCTAATGTCTGTGGTTTATTTCTACTGCAGGTAGCATACACGTACATATTTATTATGAGAAAAATACACTTAAAGTATTAAAAGTGGCTATTATGCTAACTGACTAACTTTTTATAAATGAGTGACTTCTCACCAATTTGTTAACGATGATGCAGCATTTTGATATTGTATTCTAGTGTAATTTAGTATAAAGTGGCACAAGACTGACACACTGATTTAAATTACAAGAAGCCTGATAATTGTAAGTGTAGTTAGTTTTATCGCATTACACAACATTACGACTTTTAATTTGGTAAATTGTCATCACCCGCACATGCGCAGAGAGGCTCGGGCGCCGGTAGTGACGCGAAAATGGCGTCCTCCGCTACCCGGTTGACTACACGCTGGTTAGCAGCATCAGTTTCTCCTCGTCACCGTAACGGCTGCTTTCTAATTGTCTCCGCCAGACATGTTGGAGTTTGTTCCGCGACGATATCGCAGGCGCACCGGAGTGGGATAGCGGTTAGCACGAGCTCCTGGAGACACGGGAATGTCGTGACATTGAAAGGACTAACAGGTGAGATAGCTAAATGTTAGCATAACAGTCAAAGTTTCTTATATTAGCAGTCCTCTGTCACTTTTTTTTTATAACTTCAGTAGTCTGTTCAGAGCTCAGTCGCCCTGGTGTTATGATGCGGATGTGAACTTCACAGTGTACAGCCAGTTAAAGTGAAGCTGGAGTAGTCCCGTGAGGCGGGTTAGCCGTGATGACAGAGTGATGTAACTGCTGTGTGTGTTTGCAGTGTTGTTATATCAGTAACAGCCTGTCTGCACGCTGACCTTGTTGCAGCCACATCTCCTGTGTGTCAGCATCGTTTGGACTTCCACGGTCAAGTTTATATCTAAGTCGGGACAACACGCTCAGCTGGCAGTTTATTAGGAACATCAATTACGCTGAGTTGTGAAATTGGGAGATCTGGACTGATGTGCTCTAGACCTGAAAAGGCTATGAAACTCCCCTTTTTGCGTTTTTACAAATAGAACAAACGTTTTATAAAACTGAAACTGGTTTTCAGTTTTTACCCTCTCTGGGATAATCTAGTCCAGATTTGACTAGTCTTTTATAGTGGTTTTTTAATCAGGACCTGGTGTATGTGGTGGCGACATGATAATAAATGCATTACAATAAATGTTTCATAAATCTGAAACTGTTTTAATGAGTTTCTGACTTCTCCAGGGTAATTTAGTGTGGATTTGACCAGTCTTAGTATGGTGGTTTTTGATCGAGACTTAAGGCTTCACCCAAAATGACTAACACTTTCACAACAGTGAGAGGAGGTTATTTGCACCTTGGTGATGACTGACTGCTATGACAAGCAGCTAGTTTCTTTATGCTTCTTTATCTCTAGGCACAGACAAGACTCCTCGTTGAATAATGCAGATATCTCACCACCATCTGAATGTTGTACTCCTGATTAAAAAGCCCTTTTTGTATCCTTCTCTCTGCAGCGGTGCGATTTCCACATGTCACTACCTGCCACTCTTTTCACACCAGCAGCAGGTTGGCAAACAAACAGGACTTCTATGATGTCTTGGGTGTCTCCCGCTCTGCCTCTCAAAAGGACATCAAAAAGGCTTATTACCAGGTCAGAGACGCACGTTTTTAATGAACCCAAGCTGTTAACGCCTACATAGATGACTATTTTCTCATTTTAAATGGAGACAGAAAGTATCTAAAAAGAGTTTTGTTGATAAATCGTGAGATGTAATAAAACAACAGGATCATGAGGCCCCAATACCTGAAGTGTTAGAAAACTAATATGTTTGGATACCTTTGGAAAGGGGTTAAATTGATGCCCTGCCCTTATCTTTTCTCCCACTTTGTGCTCCGTCTTCATTAATGTTTAATCATCTCGCACCAGTTGGCAAAGAAGTACCACCCGGATACCAACCCAGATGACCCAGAGGCCAAAGAGAAGTTTGCCAAACTGGCTGAAGCCTATGAGGTAAAAAATAAGATTGCAGAATGGTGTCAAGAATCATTTTTTTCCAGTTATGTGCAAGATAGAAGATAAGCAGCATCATCAAATGTTCTTCTGACCTTGGCAAAAAAACCCACAGATTTGCTCTTTTCCTGTTTAGGTGCTGAGTGATGAGGTGAAGAGGAAGCAGTATGACACATACGGAGCTGCAGGCTTCGACCCCAGTCGAGCTGGGGCAAGCCAGCAGCAGTACTACAGAGCCGGGGGAACCAGTATAGACCCTGAGGAGCTCTTCAGGAAGATCTTTGGAGAGTTTACTGGAGGAATGGGCTTTGGAGATATCCACAACATGTTTGAACAAAGGCCTGAGGTGAGAACTTGCAGCTCTGTAGCATCTACATGTTTTGATATTGAACCTTAAACCATTATTTTACATGTGAATTTTTTTTACTTTGATATTAAAATCTTTTTATCGTTATTTAAATTAAGAATTAGCTAAATATACTATACATGCATTAAATGTGGACTAAAGTAAATAAGTTTCTCGTCTTTCCTCAGTTTGTGATGGAGCTTACATTTGCCGAAGCAGCGAAGGGAGCGAACAAGGAGCTGAATGTGAACATTGACGACGCCTGCCCAAGGTGTGATGGAAAAGGCAGTGAGCCGGGCACCAAGGTGTCACAGTGTCACTACTGCAACGGCACTGGCATGGTGAGTTTCACAGCAGCATGAGTGTGTGAGGTATGTAGCAGGGCCACTGTCCTTTAACTTGTGGAGCCTTTGATGTGGAGGCTTTAATTTATCCCATAGTTGGATTTCCTCTCAGAACTTTACCACACTGTTTTTACTGTTCCACCATCAGTCAGCTTCTGCACAGTATAAGACTGTTTGTGTCGCCCCCTGCAGGAGTCGATCAACACAGGTCCCTTCATGATGCGCACCACCTGTCGACGCTGCGGTGGGAAGGGATCCATTATAACCACGCCCTGTGCTCTTTGCAGAGGTTCAGGTCAGACCAAGAAGAGGCAGAAGGTCACTGTACCTGTACCCGCTGGTAGGTTTTCACCCTGAAATCTCACAAGTGAAGGACAAAAGCTTGATTGATCTGTCTTTATGCATAACTTAACCCTACTTAACTTAAGCAGCTTCTACTGAACTTAATGATCCTGAGGAATTCTTTGTGTTATGTAATCCTAAATAAAGTTGTGAATGTGTTTACCCTGCTTTAAAAGGTTCGTCAGACTTGAATCTGGAATTTGTTATGTAATGACATTGAGCCAAAATCATGTATCTGATATTTTCGTACAGGAGTGGAAGACGGTCAGACAGTACGCATGTCAGTAGGCACAAGAGAAATCCTCATTACATTCAGGGTAAGTTGTTCTTTTAAGTCTGTGACTGATTTAGAAATGGATTCAATTTGAATCGAATTTAATTAAATGATTTATTCGCTAGCACCGAAAGCCAGAAAACATACTGTAATAACATTGGAGGTTGATGTTAAAAGTATTTGATGTGTTATATTAAAAATGTCTGTGTACAGGTCCAGAGGAGCCCAGTGTTCAGGCGCAACGGAGCAGACATCCACTCAGATGTGCCCATTTCCATAGCTCAAGCTATCCTGGGGGGCACAGCCACAGCACAGGGCCTCTACCAAACCATCAGTATAATGGTGAGTAAGCAGCAGGGCGTAGGGATTATAATCCATAGCACTATTCCTCAAGTTCCCACTCAGAACACTAAAATATCAGCTTTTAGATAGATAAGTCAAGTCAGGTCAGATCATTTATAGAGCACATTTAAAAACACAAAATGTTGACCAAAGTGCTTTACAAAGAGGTGGAATTATGAGATTGATTAAAATCAAATGAAAACGACAAATAAGAAATAAGAAACAATAAGGCCTAATATGGAGCCTTGCTGCACCCCACAGGAGATGGACATAGGTGTAGAGAGAGAGGAGATATTATCAATTTTAACAGGGGTCTGTATTGGAGACAGGAGGCAAACCACTGAAGGGCCTGTCCCTGAATGTCAGTAACATGCTGACGGTGGTCCGAGAGGACGGAGTGATCGACTGTACCGAAGGCAGCAGAGAGAATTAAAATAATGTGATTTCCTGAGTCTAAAGACAAGGACAGATAATTTCTCCCTGCGCGAGCTGTGATGGTAAACCAGGACTGAATTTGATTTGTGACCAGCCAGCAGGGGGAGCTTTAATGACAGCAGAAGTGAAGGCATCTGAGAACTTCTTTTTTCTCTGTTTCCTAGAATTCACTGCCAGCAGAGTTTCAGCTAAGTCTGTTCTCTGTTTCAATGTTTATTGTCTGTGTTTTCAGATTCCTGCCAGTTGCCAGGCTGATCAGGTGATCCGGCTGCAGGGGAAAGGCATTCGGAGGATGAACAGTTACAGCTACGGAGATCATTACGTTCACATCAAGATCAGAGTGCCCAAGTAAGACACACATACAAAGACATGCTGTAATTGCATATTACGCCTTGTTGTCCTAGATTAATATGACTGCACTATTAGCATTTTAAATCTCAACTGTGATTCATTTTAGATTTTGAAAATATTTTATTTTAAATTATCATGATATGTGTATCATTTAATCTGTAAGGCATCCAGAATTTCCCAGGTAATGTGTAAAGTGTCTCAGGTTTGTCTTCGTGCAGTGCAACAGTGCAAGTCAAAGGCAGTCAAATAACTGTCACCAACTTATGTCTTACACTGTGAAGTGGATATGTGAAGAATTATAAATGGTTTGTGTTACTGAATTGTTTGTGGTGTCTTCTTCTTGCAGGAAGCTGACTCGAAAGCAGCGCTCTCTGTTGCTGAGTTATGCTGAGGAGGAGACGGACGTGCAGGGAACCGTCAACGGTGTCAATCCTTCTGCAGGTCAGGGCTACAGTTCAACTCCACCATTCAATCCAAACATCACTCCACCCTAGTCTGCAGACGCACTCGTAGACAGATAGTCAGTCATTCAGTCAGTCCCTCTGCTCGCAGGTCCTATGTTGCAATTGGTATCAGTATTTGAGCTGATGGAGTGTGTGTCTGTGTCCAGGAGGGGGCAGTAGCAGCAGCAGCAGCACTTCAGCAACTGGTACGAAGACAACCAGCTCAGACGAGGGAAGGGAAAAACAGCAGGAGCAGAAGGAGGAGGGAGGCTTCTTCTCTAAACTAAAGAAAATGTTTAGCTGACACTCAGGCTGAAGGTGGGAGCTTCAAACATTTCACTTCTTCCCTGATAGACATACTGATTTGAATTAGATTATCCTTTACTTAACATAAACTGAAACAGTACACTGAGTCATTATCTGCAGAGTGACTGTGGTAGACTTTAAACTTTAGTTTAAAGAGCTTGAAGTTATTTTATTATAAAGTATATTCCACCTTTTTTTTACAGGCAAAAAAACAACATGGTAAAGGAAGAAATGAAAGCCACTGACTGGGGCTCCATGCTGTCGTCTCCTGCTTTGGGGGTTGAGCAAGGAGGAGGAAGAGAGAGGCATAGTGGTATTTGTGTTGACACAGTCACACGTTGTCGAAGTTGCAGTTGGCAAACAGGCCATGCAGACATCAGATCCATCCACACACCCACTGGCCCATCACCATAGACAGGTGCTGGGCTGAGAAACTCATGATCTGCTGGAAGAGAAACAAGATGGCGACTACACATGGCTATTGTGCAATAACTCTCCTGCCTGCTTACTGTGTTTGAAACCTCACTGCTCCTTGAGTCACGAGGTGCTCTACAGACATGCTTTTAAATACTGTGGTAGATGAGCCATTAAAATGGCAACAAAAATTTATAGCCAGTCAAAAGCAGTAATGCAGGCTATGAAAATGGATTGTAACTGGATGAAAAGCAAAGCATTGTATGGGTTTTAGGAAGTAAATTATAATTGTTGTAATAATGTCCTAGAAAAGAACTGATACACCACTGTAAGTTCTCTGGGAAGTTCCTGAAGAGGAGTATGAAATTTGGTACTGACTGTAGTAAAATGTGGGCAGTGCTCAACTGATGCACTTCCAATTAATTCTGATAATTTTCTAGTAATCCCTTGCCAGTGGATCTGCTCCGCATGAACCAATGTTAAAATTGTCGATACTACAACATACAACTCAACAAATGTAGAGAATATAGCTGCTGATACAGTCAATGGATATTTACATGGTTTTAAATGGATCATTGAAAGTTTTTCCAGTCATTAAGATTATAGTGGTACAGCTTTCCATGTGGTTACTGTGTATTTCCTAAGGGTTTGATTGTCTCTATTTGCTTAACAGTTAGTACCAAATTACAGGACTCTTTTTAGGAGACATACTGGGAACTCATAGGACATTATGTATCCCGTAAAATGATGTTTTATTTTTTCCCATACATTAATCTTTACTGGCTGTTAAATATTCCAGTACTGTTAAATCTGGTGGGATACCATTGTTTTAATAAGGAATGTAAACGGACGGAAAACTCAATCCCTGATCTTCAATATTTGTTACTGTCCGATCCAGACTTAGTTGTTCTCATTGTGGATTGTTGCACCTGTGTGTGGTGACAAACTGCAAAACTATTTAAATAAAAAAACGTATTGAAGGTTATGTTTTTTTCAGCTTGCATTCATTTGTTTCAGTCGATTTGTTTTTAAACTAAGCTTGACCATTTCAACTGTAACACATAAACTCAACGATAGAGAGCAGTGTTGAGTCAGTAGTGTCATGATCGACCCTTCTCTTCCATTCTCAGTGCTACACGAGACTGAACAACTCTCTTTGACGCTCACGCACTCGAACTCCAGTCCGCCCGACTGTTTGATGTTTCCAGCCGCCCCAGTTAACCGCTGTGTGCGGCGTATGAACAGAAGCTTTTGTGAGGGTCACTGGGAACATTTCAGACCGGGGTTTTCCAACTGTGCTCAGACTAAAAGTGGTCAGTCTTCACAAACAGGACTTGTGTTGCCTCTAAGGGAGAGTTATGATTTCATATGATTCACATTTACGTTCAAAACAGGCCGATGGCTGTGTTTTTCCATATTATCACAGTATATTTTCTGTTCACTTTTGACATGGGTTGTAAATGGTAAAAAGGGATGTAGGACATGACTATGTTGCTCAATAAAATATTGGCGTTAAAGGATGAATGTACAGGATGTGATTTATAGGAGCGTGTCATGTATCCTCCCTCTGAGCATTTGTCTGGACAGATGTGCCTTTACTACTGAGGCAGACTCACTGCATTTCTTATGGAGGAAGCAGGTGGAAGAAGTCTGTGATCAATAGTCTGTAAAAAATATTTGCACAGCTGTCATCTAGAGAGTTAAAATTCATTTTTGATACATACTTTAAAAGCATTCTCACAATATGTCTGACAGCGGCTGCAGGTACTGTAGAGAACAGTGTCCAATTGTTTTACATGACTAGTGGCGACTTGTTTGTAGCAGGTTAATCTTTGTCACCAGGAAGATAATGTGTTTGTTGCAAAGAAATCATGACAAAAACAGAAATTGTAAACACATTCATGTACATGTATTAAAACTCGATTACCTCACAGGATAAAAGTTGAAGATGTTTGTACGATGGGCATCACATGCTAATATCACAGTCTTGTACATTTACATTTTTCCTTTTTACCTGTTTACCTTATTCTCCCAGAAAGAAGATTAAAACATCCCAAACTAGAATCCGATACGTGCACTACTTCCTAGTAAGAGCCGCTGAGGCATTATGGACTATGTAGAACCACTGAACTAACTGAACAGGTTCATAAAACCTAAGGTAAATGCACATGTACATGGTACATTCAGGGGTAATGGGAGCTTATAAATAACAAAATTCGTGGAGGATACAAGCCTTGCTGCAGGCAGTAGATAACCTGCACTATCAGGACCAGTTAAGCACGATTACAACCTGGTCTGCACTGCTAATCAGCAGACAATATTAGATTCAGTTCTTAAAAGCCCAGCCAATAGACTAAGCCTCACTCTGCCCTCTATTGAACCAGAACCTGTCTACTTTTCCAATCAGCATCTGAAAACTTGTGGTTCAATCAATGCTCCACACTAGATAAACAACAGGTAAACATCTGGGAACAGCTGCCAAAAGCTTAATTACTTCGGCTGGACAAATCTTGGAAGTGAAACTACATGAGTGGCTCTTCTTCTCCTCCTCTTACTGTGCTGAAAGTCCTGCATGCAGCCACGTTAACTCTGACTGTTCAGATCCAGAAGTAGACGGTGCAGATTAGAAACCGAGTGTCACTTAAAAGAGAAACGTAGATAAATAAAACCAAGCTGATGACATCACATCAGTAGCTGAATTTAAAGGTCATGTATGGCAGCCTGAGCTTCCCACTTCCCTTTCCCTTTACAAATCACCACCATGCCCACTCATTATGATGTCATCTTCATTGTAAATCACTCTTGCTCACTCATTACAGTTTGTGACGATGAATGGGTTGCTATATTCCATCTTACTCATCCTTTTAAATCCTTTAAGGGTCAAAACCACTTTGTTTTCAGGACTTAACCGCAGTTCCACTTTTTCCCTCCTCTGAAAGGAAGAATGGAAAGTAAAAGTTTTTATGTAAGACAGGATTCTTTTCTTAGTGTCTGTGCCTGCATTTAGTGTTAGATGTAAAAATACAATGTATGTATTGCATTTATATCAATGACTGAAGGAATACTCGTATTTAAGTGGTGTTAAAATACACCTACATACACTGTAGTGGTGACTACAACCCAACGTAAACCACATCAGCTCATACATGGTATTTTTTTGTATTTTTCAATCGTCGCCTGTAAAAAAAAATCATATTACATAACTACCAACGGGATTTACTTCATACAAGAACAATGAAAAAGCTCCACAATACTTCTACATATCTTCCAAAACTGTTCTGTGAAGCTTCAAGGCCTCTAGGCCTAATAGTTAAGTTGGCCTTCATAGTTAATTATTTTCACATAAACCTCTGTAAAAGGAAAACTGGGAGAAATGGGCTTTTACTCTTTAATATGAAATAATATAAAACATACTGAAGCATTTTGATGTCTAAGAAACCTTTTGGAAACATTCAAAACAGAGCATACTATTGAGCTGTCTTTACACTTACCTCAGCCCATCTATACCTGAGCCTTTTAGCCCTGCCTCTGAAGGGCCCATCTCCCCTAGTTTGCTCTGATTGGTCAGGGGAGATGTCTATCTACATACTAGTGTCACTCAGAAAAGCTGTGAAAAAAACAGGCTTTTTCTGACAGAGTACATGTCATTACATCATTAGCCAGGGAGAGCTCTATTTTGTAGCCAGAAAGCTAACAAACAACAGCAGACCCGCAAGGACAGCCACAGGAGAGGAGAAATGAGGGAAGATCAGTGGATACAAATCGCTCAGTTGTCTGCTTTGGACTTCTCATGATGATATTCATAACCTAACCCGGAATACTTTTATAAGGAACCCTTTTGGTTTTTGTGATCTGCGGACCCTTATGGACTAAAGGAATACAAATAACAGACCAATGGAGAGAGGATCAGAGTTCTACACGCCTTAATGGTAGGTAGTCACCGCGCTCTGCTGGTGCAGAATGCTGGTAGATATTAATAAATCATATGTATGTGCTTGTGGTTAGCACTAAATGAACTGAATATTTGAATTCATGGGCCCATGGATGGGCCAGCGGGTCATATGATGATCATATATCATAAATGTATTCAGACAAATCATATGCAGCATGAATAAACTTAAACATACACAACTTTCAAGAGCATTTTAGTAAAGTGAAACAGTTTGATGTTGAAGGCCACAATAAAGTGGACAATGAAATGCATTTTATTTTCAACCTGAACAAACAAGTGAAATTTTCTGTCCTCCTTTGGAACAAAATGAAAGCGTTTCCACAACTAGGAGATGTGCCAGGTTATGATTGACATAATGCTGTAGATGATAAAAGGCTTAACACTCTCAGTTCAGGTTCATATAAGACCATTAGTCTTTTAGTCATTTAACCCTCTTAAGCCGTTGGTCTAAATGTCACGTTGTCTGTAGAGCGTAATTGCTACGTGACAGTCTGCCATATAGACGTGCCGTTTTTTCTCCTTAAATGAGACTATCGTCCGTCTTTCGTCACTGACTGAAATCGAGACACTAACATTGAAAGTTACTAAATATCTGGAGTAGTTTTACCGTTTTTCTGGCACATTGCTGCTTTCTGTCGGTGTGTTTATTGATAGATTCTGATCCGCATTCTTTGCCAGTAACATCTACCGTCACGCAACTGATCAGACATTCCTATTGGCTCCAGTGGGTGACGTCACAGCCAATCAGAGTGTCTGTTTCAGATGCTTTGCCTGCCTTGGCTTTATTAACTGACTGAATGGGAGCAGTGCTGTTTTATTCTGATATCAAAGTGAGGAGAAGTTGTTTAGAGTTTATTTAAGTGACAGAATAAAGACGCAGAGGATTTGGGGCTGATTTTTCAAGGACCAGAGAAAAAATGCCCATAAATACTGCAAACTTCAAATCACAACAACTCAAACAAATAAGTAAAATTTTCTGTGTGGATTTTTTTCTTCTTTATTATAATTTACAGTGTTTTTATCTATTAAATAAGGAAAAATGTAAGTTTTTTTTTTGTTTATTTTTCTTTTTGTTTTATGGGCTATTAACCTTTATTATACTGTCCAGAAGTCTTTACTGAGTGACATTTATTATTAGCTGAAGTTATGCTGATTCTAAATATGTGTAGCACTTGGTAAAACTGTTAAAAATGACAATTTTATTGGGAAAAAAACAAAGGTATTAAAAAAACGAAAAGGTTTAATTGTGGGTCTCCCCATTCACCCCCCTGCAGTCCAGGCAACATGGTACAGTCTTAGTTCCCCATACTTTAAAGCACATTGGATGTTCTCACTTCCTGCTTGGCAGTTTGGACCAATGACCACCAGGTAAAATGGAGGGAACTCACCCAAACAAACATTTTGGAGATTGAATAATATCATTGGATGTATTAATGATTGAATTGAATGTGTGTGTGTGTGTGTGTGTGTGTGTGTGAAAGACAAATTGACAATGTGAATGATGAGAGTATGCATAATTAAATGATTGCAAATGCCTATTGTTAGCAGTTTAGTATGCTAAGCTCCATGTGTTCAGCATGCTAACTAAGCCTCAGGTCTTAAGCTTAGCATGATGAGTGGTCAATAATGGTTATCCTAACAACACAACTAGAACTGTAACAACTCCATATTGGTGGCCAGTACAAGTGTGTATCTGGGCAATGTGCTCTAGCTTTAGCACTGTGACAGTCATAAGTTACACAACCATAAGCTTTTTGGTCTATAATGCAACTAAAGTGTGTGCATTATGTTCATACACCCTGCACCGTCTGTTAGTTATTAAGATCTTCCGGCTGATACTGCAATCTGATATAAGCTTTCCCTTGTTATATCAAGACATCTCTTAAATGTATTATTATTATTTACATAGTTAAGTAGATAGAAATATGGCCTCCATATGTTCAGAATTGTTTATAATTACATCAGGGCTGCACTATATACAATTACATACAGCCTTTACTGCATGTGATGGAAAGAACTTCACCTCTATAGCT